GCTCGGAGGGCCCTCTCCATGCTGGCAAGGCCGTGGGCAACCTCCGCGTGGCGCCGCGCCGCGCGGCACATCTTCCGATGATCGCGGCCGCCAGCGAGGCGGGCGCACCAGGCTCAGCGCGGGTGGCCTTCTCCATGCTGGCAAGGCCGTAGGCCGTAGGCAGCCTCCGCGTGGTGCCGCACCGCGCGGCCCAGCGGGGCGGTGCGGCTCTAGCCGCGGGCCTCGCAGGGCTAACATCACAGAAACGACGTCTGGGCACGATGTCGGACTGTCAGGGCACAACAGTTACGTTGACTCGCGGTCTTGAAGTCCCAGGACGGTGTTTTGGCATGGTTCAGGATCGTCAAGGCGCAAGATCTACTATGGTGATTCGCGGCGCAGGAACGGTGTTCTGGCACAGTGCAGAATTTTCAAACTGTTGTCTTCCAACGAGGCATTTCCCTCCGTGAAAATGACTCCTTGTAAAGGCCTGTGAAACAAACTTTGACGGAGCGTTAATTGCAATATCGTTGATGAGTGATTGAGCTCATCCTCCTCCTCCTTATCCCCCATTATCCTCATCCTCCTCCTCCTTCTCCTCCTCTTCTTCCTCCTCTTCCTATTTTGTTATTGTTGCTTGTTTCTCCTCCTCCTGCTCCTCCTCCTCCTCCTCCTCCTGCTGCTCCTCCTCCTCCTCCTCCTCCTCTTCCTCCTCCTCTTCCTACTCCTCATCCTCCCTCCCTCCCCTCCCTCCTTCCCTCCCTCCCTCCCTCCCTCCCTCCCTCCCTCCCTCCCTCCCTCCCTCCCTCCCTCCCTCCCCTCCCTCCCCTCCCTCCCCTCCTCCCTCCCTCCCCTCCTCCTCCTCCTCCTCCTCCTCCTCCTCTCCTCCTCCTCCTCCTCCTCCTCCTCTCCTCCTCCTCATCATCATCATCATCATCATCATCATCATCATCATCAACATCATCATTAATCATTCCTCCTCCTCCTCCTCCTCCTCCTCCTCCTCCTCCTCCTCCTACTCCTTCTTTTCCTCGTCGTCCTCCTCCTCCTCCTCCTCCTCCTCCGTCCTCCTGCTCCTGCTCCTCCTGCACCTCCTCCGCCATCCTCCCCGTGGGCCGCAGCAGCGCCCGCGCCTTGAGCGCGACCGAACCGTCCACGAAGAAATGTGGCCGGTCCTGGGAAACAGGCCGGCCGGTTTGGGCCGCCGCCCCGTCCGCTCCTCCGTTGAGAGGCCACTCCTGGGAACGACGGCGACGACGACGACGGCCGATGACGACGACGACGACGACGACGACGACGCCGACGACGCCAACGACGACGAAGACGAACGTCGATGACGACGATGACGACGACGCCAACGACGACGACGACGAACGTCGATGACGACGATGACGACGATGACGCCGACGCCGACGCCGACGCCGACGCCGACGCCGACGCCAACGCCGCCGACGCCGCCGCCGACGACGACGACTTCAGCGGCGGCGGTCAGCGGCGCGCTTCCACGAGAGGCGTCCCTACGGTGCGCGCCGCAAGAGCGGGGGGGGTCGGTCTGCGGGCGGCCCCGGCAGCGGCAGGCCTTCGTGGGAGCGGTTGGCGAACGAACAACACACACCGTGCAGTCGTCGTGCTGCCAGCAGGAGCGCCAGAGCAGGAACGGAGGGGCGTTACTGGCAACCGCGGGCTTCGGCCACGAGCAGGTTTCCCGACCCAGATCTAAGAAACGGCCCGAACGCCAAGAGCCCCTCCACCTCCGGAGCCCGACGTGGCCCTAAATAACTTCAGCGCCTGGACTGTGCACTATACCCATCGGGGGGACGGAGGGGACTATGGGTGCGTGTTGTCGGGCAGGGGACCCCGCTCGAACAGGAGCCTCTGCCAGGGTCCGACAGCCCGCACCCACACCCACAGCCAGCCCCCCTCTCGCCGACCCCCCATATGGGCATGGGCTACGGGTGCGCACGATTGCTCATCGGTCGGAAGGCGTTGGTCGAAACATGAAGCAGGACGGCGCCCTCGCAAACCAGGTTGCTGAAACGCTGGCTGGGGTTCGGGATCCGACGGTGTCTGCAGCCAGGCGAACCCCAGCGGGGGGCGCCCGACACAGCAGCGTCGGCTTGCCATCAGTCGCAGCTCTTCCCCCTTGGGCTAAATGCGTGCGGGGCGAGGGCGCCACCACGGTGCAGCCGTGCCGGCGCGCGGGCGATTGCGCCACGCCGTGGCAACTCGTCGCTGCCTCCACTGGCGGAGGTCGAACTGCAGGGTGGGGCACGTCCTCCTCGTCCCCCCTCTCCCTCGTCCCTCCCCCTCCTTCTTCCCCGAGGCGTAGGGCGATGCTGTGCTGACCGCAAACTGCACATCAGGGCAAGTGCAATCCACGACTCACGATGGCAGAACAGAATGCAGCAGACGAGCTGCGACGTTACGCTACGCCGGGTGCGAGCACAAGTCCATGCAGGAAACCTCTTCGAGTGCGATCGCCTCGGCGGTGAAGGATGATACCGGGGAAATGAAAAACTGGCCCGCCATGCAGAGAGGGAAGGTTGCCCACGCTCCAGACCCCCCCTCCCTCTCTCCTCCCTCCCATCCCTCTCCTCCCCCAGTCCGCGTAGTTTCCCAGGGCCGAGCTGCCCAAGCCGTGCAGGTAGATCAGCGTCCAGCGCTGCGGCCCGGACGGCGGTCGGATGATGACGGCCGGCAGCAGGTCCAGCGGCCGCGTCTCCACCTGACCAGCGCTGCGATCGGACTGCAAAGCGGGGAGGAGGACGGCAAGGAGGACGAGAGAAAGGTCTCCCACCAACGATCTGGGAGCCGAGAGCTTTCTGGAGAAAGAAGGTCCGCACGGATTTCGCGGGCCAGCGCGTGCTCTAGGGGCGGCGCGACGCCACCAGGAGGCTCAGGTGCCGACCAAAACGCTCCGCGCGGACCTCCGAAAGTTCAGGAGGAGGTGAGGAGAAGAACGGACGAACGAACCCTCCGGTGCGTGTCTAAGTTTCTTCCTGTCTAGCAGAGCACCGGGATCGGCCCGTGCAGCCGAAGACTTCGGGATGAGCTCGTCATGTGAGGAGAGGAGGAGCAGGAGGAAGAGGAGGAGGAGGAGCAGGAGGAGAAGAACGGGAGAGGAAGAGCAGCAGCAGCAGCAGGAGACGGAGGATGATCAGGAGGGAAGGAGGAAGATTAGCAGGAGGAGGAGGAGGAGGAGGAGGAGGAGGAGCAGGAGAGGAGGAGAGGAGATGAGGAGAGGAGGAGGTGGTGGAGGAGGAGGAGGAGGAGGAGCAAGATGAGGACTCAATGGCTTAATGCTCCGCGACAGTGGAGTCGCACGAATAGGCCTAGTCCAAAGAGGAGGAAGGGATGCGCGGAGGAAAATGAGGAGGGAGAAGGAGTAGGAGGATGGCGGAGGATGGGGGAGGAGGAGCAGAAGGATGAGGAGGAGGAGGAGGAGGAAGAGGAGGAAGAAGAAGAGGTCGCACGGTCGGTCCTGCGATCGCCCCAACGGATTCGGTACCACAACGGGCGCAGCCTTCCCCCCTCCCCGGCGGCGCTCTGCCACCAGGGAGGGCGCACCGCGCAACAGAGCCGGGCGGAGGGGGGCCACACCGAGGCAAGAGAAGGGGCGCGTCCGTATCGCCACCTGCAAGAGGGAGACCCTCGAGCAGGTGGTCCAGTTCACTCCGCAGCTTACGCCAAGGCACAGTCGCGCCCAGGAGAGTGGCAAGAGAAGAATCTTCCTTGTCGCCGAGCTCGTCCGCGCGGCCGAAGAAAGGATGAGAAGGACAGGAGATCGACAACACGCAAGAGCGACCCTGGGTAAGAGTGACCTTTGGTGCGCGGCTTTTTCGGGAAGCGCGCAAGACGCCACTACCGCATCGAATTCGGCGATCGGGGGGACCCCAGTGGGCCCGCACCAGCTGTCGCTCCGGCGAAGGGTCACTCTGACGTGTAGTCGAAGGAGAGCGAAGAGAGGTAAACTCCGAAGCGGGGGACCGAGCAGTGGGAGGAAAAGGGCCCACCTGAGCCGCGGAGGCCCGCCCCTCGGCACAGGGTGCTCCTGCCTCGGGAGCGAGGCGCCCACGGCAATGGCCGCCCCGTGGACACAGTGCTCGCGTGGCGCTGGCGCTGGCCACGGCCGGTGCGCGGCCGCCCTGGGCCCTGAACAGGGACGGCCTGCTCCGTGGTGGCCCCCTGTGGATCCTCACCCCTCATGCCCTCTCGTCCTGAGGCCGAGGGTTAGGGGGGAGATGGATACCTTCTCTGGGACGCACAGAGACATACTAGTACTAGACGTCCTCCTTGGAGGCGCGCGTCCGACCCGAACATCTAGTGTACCCATGTAGGCCAGAAAGCGCCCGCCACGACACATATACTGTAAAGATATCTCGGTGCGCGCGTCGCCCCTGGGGGGGCGACGCACACATAATATTGGCTTGTTGGGGTGAAGCCGATTTTCCTTCTCTGAGAACGGGGGCAGCGACGCGCTATCCAAAACATCCCAGCCGTAGCGCCGTCGGCAGGCCAGCTCTGCCTCTCGACGCCCGCAGGCTGGCGCCTCCTCTCGGAGGAGCACCGCCCGGCGCGATGCGCCGCCGCCTGCGCGCTCACGTCGCCGCCCGTGGGAAGGGCGACGGGACGCACCAAAACCTAGAGACGTTCGGGATTCTACTGACCTGGGTCAACCCACACACCCTCGAGTGATGAAGAAGGCACGACGGACACAACGACGGAAAATTCTTCGCCATTTTCGGCTTTCGGGGGCCACTACTGGGCCCCGGGGCCTCAGGATGAACAGCCGGTCCCCAGGAATGAATGGGTCGAGACCTCCGGGGGTCGACATCATGACAAAAATCATGACGTCGGGGGTCTGGGAATGCAGACCCGGGTCAGTCAGCCTTGCAGCATCCTGCAGACTCTGGCGCGGGACCCTGCCAGCCCGGGTCAGTGCAGCCCTTGCCTGCGCAGCAGAGATGGACCTCCACAGTGTTACTCGTTTTCGTTTTGCTTTCGTTTTCCCTTGTCTTGTCTCCAATCCGCCTTTCCTGCAAAACCAAAGCGAAACGAAAACGGCCCACGAAATCGCCAAAACACCGTTGAGGTCCAACCCTGCGGCGCAGGATCCTACAAGATCCCGCGCTCTGGCTGACCCCCGCTTGCATGGACCCCGCCTCGACGCTCCCGATGACGCGGGGTGTGGGCCACTTCTGGGGGCAGGCGGCGCGAGCTGGGGCGGACGGGAGCGCGCAGGCAGGAGACCTCCCGCGGTCGGGCACCTGTGCCTCGCGCGTCGCCGCGGCGGCCCCCAGGCGCCACGCTGCGGCTTGCGAGCGGATAGCGTGTCGCTCTGCTCCGCTGGGGCGGGAGGCTCGGCAAAGGCTTGGGACGTCGACGCGGGGGAGCCAGGAAGTGGATGGCGTGTCGCGCCGAGGCGCGGTGGGCCAGGACCCGCGGAGCGGCACGCCATCCAAAGGATCCCGAGGAGGAGAAGGAGGAGGTGGAGGAGGAGGGGGAGGGGGAGGAGGAGATGGAGGAGAAGGAGGAGGAGGAGGAGGAGGAGGAGGAGGAGGAGGAGGAGGAGGAGGAGGAGGAGGAGGGGGAGGGGGAGGGATGAGGCGGGAGGGAGGGAGGGAGGGAGGGAGGGAGGGAGGAGGAGGAGGAGGAGGAGGAGGAGGAGGACGACGACGATGAGGAGGACGGACGACTCCCTGTTCACGGCACGACCGACGGACGCGAAGTCCTCGACAAGACGCGGCGCTTCCTGCGGCACTGGCGACAGCTGCGGGACAACGGGCTGACAGCCGAGGGTGCCCACACACTCCTGAGCACATATGCGCAGAGGTGCGCTACTCATTTGCTCCGGGCCAACTATGAGACCGCCTGGGCGGCGCAGCTGGATGACCTTCTGTGGGGCGCCTACGAAGAGTTCGCCGGCTTCGCCTTCGACGCCTCCCAGCGCGAGCAGGCCAGACTGGGATTGTCCGACGGGGGCTGCGCCTTCCCGTCAGCACGGGACACGGCTGCGCGCGCGTACCTGGGCAGCTGGGCCCTCGTTCTCCCCAGCGTTGCCGCTTGCCTCGGGGTCACCTCCCTCGAAGGCTTTCGGTCCAGGTGCCCGCGCATTGCCCGGGACATGAGGAGCGCAGAAACCGAGCTGGACGCCCAAGGGGCGAAGGAGGGCCCCATTAGCTGGGGGAACTACTTGGCAGAGCCACGAGCCAAGCTACAGGGCCACTGGGCCAAGCGCACTTCCGAGCACAGGCGGAGACAGTTGCTGCAAACCCTTGGCGAAGACGACCGGCTCGCCCTCCGCGAGAGCAGCGGGACCTCGGCGGGGAGTTGGCTTCTCCCGCGCCAGGAAGGGGACGCGCCGATCCCTGACGCCCACTTCCACGTGGGCCTGCGCAAGCGCCTCCGAGCTGACGTCTGCACACCAGGGGCGGCTTGCCAGCACCGCAAGCGAGACGGCACGATATGTGGTGCGCCCCTGGACCCCGGCTGGCACCCCTTGAAATGCGGCTGCGGAGGCTCTCGCGACCACCGCCACAACAGCCTCCGAGACTGGAGTGCGCCCTTCCACCAGGCGCAGACGGGCCACATGGCGGTCACCGAGAAGCGTGTCCCTGCGTGGGACCGGGTGGACCCAGTCACCGGGGAGCTGGAAGAAGCCCGCCTCGACGTGACTACCCGCGACGCGACGACTGGACAGCCTATCTATGTTGACTGGTATGTCACCTGCGCACACTCTGACAACCTCGAGCGCAGGTGGGCAAGATCCAACAATGACGGGCTGGCCGCGTCGCAAGCGGTGGGCGTCAAACGGAACCGCTACCCCCCCTCGGGCGGCGAGCTGGTCCCAGCTGTCCTGGAGACGGGAGGGCGGCCGGCGGATGAGCTTGTCTTATTTGTCCGCTCGTGCGGAAAAGATTTGCCTGAAGCAGAGCGGTCAGCGGTCATCGCCACCGCGTGGCGCCGCATCCAGCGCACGTTGGTTGTGGGCAACGCCGAGATGATTCTCAGTGCGTGCTAAATGACCCACCAACACTACGACCACCACGGCCACCACGGCCACCACGGCCACCACGACCACCACGACCACCACCAGCTGGGCCGCCTGGACCGCCACGGCCACGACCACCACGACCACCACGACCACCAACGACCACCACGATCACCGCGAGCACCACGGCCACCACCAGGCCGGCCGTCAGCACTAAAACCACGACCACTACGACCACCACGGCCACCACGACCACCACGACGACCAGCAGCTCGACCACTACCGGCTCGACCACCACGACCACGGCTTCCGCGGCCACCCTGGCTGCCCGCCCGCCCACCGCGACGGCCCCCGCCCCCCGGCCCCTTCCCCTTCCCCTCCCGGCCGCCCCTGCTGCTCCCCTCCTCCTGCTCCCCCACACAGAGGGCGCGGGCAGCCTTCGGCCCGCGTCGCATCCCAGGGCCTGCCTCAAGACGCGGCTGGCCCGGGGCGCACTGGACCGTGGACGGTCCCCCTCTGGGCGGCCCCCAGAGAGCCAGTGGGGGCGCCATCCCCGCGACTGGCGAGCAGGAGGAGGAGGAGGAGGAGGAGGAGGAGGAGGAGGAGGAGGAGGAGGAGGAGGAGGAGGAGGAGGAGGAGGAGGAGGAGGAGGAGGAGGAGGAGGAGAGGGCCATTCTGGCCCGGGCTGGGCCCGCCGCGCGCGCGGGCCCCGCGGGCCGGCCCATGCCTCCCGTCCGCCGCCAGGTGCCGAGCGAGCGGACAGGGGCGATTTCTCACGAGATCAAGAAGAGCCGACAGGAGTCGAGACCGTGGCCCATCCGAGTCGCGGTTTGCCGTGCTTCCTACGCGGCCAGGAAGGGCAAACAGATCGATCTGAAAGACTGGCGGACAATTGCCGCCAACCTCGGCAGATCTGGCGCCGTTCCTTCTGAGAAAAGTAGACGTGGGCAGCAGGCGAACACTAAATATATCGTCGTCCAGGTGCCGACCTCCCGATACACTAGCGACAGTGCAGACGTGATCTGCTACAGCTCAGAGCAGCAGGAGGCCGATCTTTGGCAGCAGTCGCATCAATAATGGCAGCAGTCGCATCAAGAATGGCAGCAGCCGCATCAAGAATGGCAGCAGCCGCATCAAGAAGAGCAGTCTTTTCCTTTCTGGGCCCTTCGCTGGCTGCCCGACGTGGGTGAAGATACAACCCAGAACAAGAGCGCGCGAGAAGCGAAGGCAGAACCAGAGTGCGCGCAAAGCGGGGATCAAACCAACACTTCCTCACCGCCACCTGCGGCTGTCCCCTATCTGTGTGAGAAGGCAGGCAGTGGCGGCCCATGCGATAAGGCAGGCAGTGGCAGCCCCAGCCACAGGACATGCACTGGCAGCTCTGGACATGCCTGGACAGCCACAGGACATGACCGTGGACAGAAAGAGGCTAAGACAGGCCCTGTGCGCTCCAGCTCCATCCCTGTGGTCAGCGTCTGCGAGAAGCAGGAGGCGAAGGAAGAGCCCGACGTGAACAGCTACAGCGTCGCGATCGGGGCGGCCGCGGGCAGCGGTGCGAGGAGCCGGCAGCGGGCAGTGGTGCGTGAAGAGACGGCAGTGGCGCGAGAAGAGACGGGCGGCAGTGGTGCGAGAAGAGACGGGAGTGGTGCGATCAGGGCGGCCGCGGGCACCATCAGCTGCAGCACGACGAAGTTACAGCTGACGAATCAACGCATCGGCGGCACCCGGACGCGTGAGAAGATTGCCGTGGCAGCAGCGGCAATCGGAGCTGCGGCGAGATCGGGTGCGCAGTGGCGATCCGCGGCCCGCGCGGCACTAGAGGCGGCAGGCATCTGCGCGCCCAACGCAGCCGCTTTCGTCTCCATGGCCGCCGACGGCTTCCCCATTCCAGCACGCATCGAGGCGATTTTCGCTGGTGTCGCAACCAGCGCCCACTGGTCCGCGGTCGACGAGGGCGACGCGTCCGAGCACGACGACGCCCGCGGCCAACGCGCGACCGAGGATGACGCCGCCACCAGCCCCAGGACCACTCCTTCCAGGAGGACTCCGACGGCTACCACCTCGAGTACAGCGGCGGTGCGAGGCAGCCTGCGAGAAGCAGCAGGCGGCGACCCGAGGCAGCCAGCGAGACGCAGGGTCTCGTTCGACCTGCGCGGCCACCTCGAGCGGCCCCAGGACCACTCTCACGGGGAGGACTCCGACGGCCGACTCGACGACAGCGACCCAGCGAGCCAGAACGACACAGAGAGCGACGCCACGGACAGCGAGTACGACGGCGAGACCACGTACACCTAGAACCACGACACCCCTGCAGGGCGAGGGGGTAGGCCCTACGACACCCCTGCAGGGCGAGGGGGTAGGCCCTACGACGACCCGCCCAGACCAGAAGGAGGACGGCCCACCTGGCGGCCAAGCCTCCGCCCCGCTCCGACGGGAACCAGCAGCACGCCAACGGGAACCAGCAGCACACCTACGGGAACCAGCAGCGCACCAACGGGCACCAGCAGAGCATCGGGCACCAGCAGGGCTTCTTCAACCGCACTGGCGCCCACGGCGCCTCCCAGCACAACCACTTCCTCATCCTGGAGGGCGCCCACCTGAACGGCGAGTTCATCATCGCTGTCGCCCCCTCGTGTGGCGAGCGTGCCGCCCTCCTTAGGTGGAGGAGGCTGGCGGCCACCGAGGGGGGCAAGATCATCGTGTTCGGCTCCCACAGGGAGTACCTCTCCTGAGAGGGGGGGAGGAGGTGGCCCCCCCTCGACGGCTACATCCTTTCCGGAGGATACAGAGTCGACATCCGAAGGATCCGAAGGAGGAGGAGGGGCAGGAGGAGGAGGAGGACGGGTCGCCTAAGCCCTTCGGAGAAATCCTCCACCTCGTCCTCGCCCTCCTCGCCTCTTCCTCGGCCACTGAGGCCGCCACTCTGATCTTCTTCCGCCGGTCGGCCGCGAGCCTGGCAGAGGGGAGCCTCCCCGCCGCCCACCTCCCCCTCCCCAGCCAGACTGGTGGGGCCTGTGGGCCAGGAGAGCGCGGGTGCACGCACCAGGGAGAGGTGGACGGAGGGAGGGAGGAGGCAGGAGAAGGAAAAGGAGGGGAAGGGAGGGGGGGAGGGGGGAGGAGGAGGAGGAGGAGGAGGAGGAGGAAGGAGGAGGAGGAGAGGAGGAGGAGGAGGAGGAGGAGGGGAGGAGGAGGAGGAGGAGGAGAGGAGGAGGAGGAGGAGGAAGGCAGAGGAGGAGGAGGAGGAGGAGGAGGAGGAGCAGGAGGACGAGGAGGAGGCAGGAGAAGGAGGGGAGGAGGAGGAGGAGGAGAAATAGGAGGAGGAAAAGGGGAAGGAGAAGGGGGGTGGAGGGTGGAGGGATCGGAGGGGAAGGGAGGGGGAGAAGGAAGAGGAGGAGGAGGAGGAGGAGGAGGAGGAGGAGGAGGAGGAGGAGGAGGAGGAGGAGGAGGAGCAGGAGGAATCTTCATACCCTTATCCCACGCAAAGTGGCGGGATGGGCCGACGGCCCCCAACGTGTGTCCATCGATCCTTGTATTAACTAACGCGGAAATCTATATGTATCTATATTCACACATTATATGTATACCCATACACACGTATACACATGAACCCTTAACCATCGGTTTACACACATATCTATATAAATATACATCTATGCTACACTATGTACATGCGGTAGTCACACCTATTTTCGTCGGTCTCTGAAATCCACGCCAGAACAATCAAATTCGCAAATCACCCACAAAAGACATGCGAATGCAAATCGCACAAGGAGATCCCATGTGCAATTCGCGCAATAGAAATCTGCCAGGCGCGGCGGGGGGGGTCCTGGGGTGGGTCCCGGAAGTCATGACCCCTGTCCTCCGGCGGGAAGGGGCGGTCCCTGGAGGGGATCGCCAGCTGGTGGCGGTCCTGGGGGGGAATCCCTGGGGGGGGGGTCGCCTGGCCCCCCGGGGAGTCTCTCGGGGGGGTGGGCAACCCAGGACACCTCCCCACGCCTACACAGGACACCTCCCCACGCCTCCCCCCTGTGGACAAGGGGACCACCACCACCACGCCCTCCTCCCGACCCCCCTCCCTTGGGGACACCCAGAGGCACCCTCTTCACTCTGATCTGCTGTTGCGGCGTGCTGCGTAGTATCAGGCCTCCAGAAGGGGCCGGCCAGCTCCGACGCGGCTCCAAGTGCTCACGGGGCTTCCAAAGAAGACCCCCAAGGCCCCCCAAAAAAGCCCAAGGGGCCCCCCAAGAGAGCTCCAAGAAGGGCTCCAGAACGTAAGCGTCGTCGTCGCCGCCACACACCGTCGCCCCATTCAGGGTCGGTGGCACTGGTCGCACGGCCTTCCCCATAGTCTTTATGTACATGTATATACATATACATATATAAACATCCGTTCCGTGTATATATATATATATATGTATATGCAAACACTCAGATGTATATACATGTGTGAATGTATGATATGGAATACCACTAAAGACATCGTCTTGTAAAGTCGCACGAACGGATTGTCTTGTGACCCTTATGCTAAAAAATAATGTGCGACTCGCCTTGAATCAAAATAAATTCGATTGCAAAGACCACCCCTCAAAAAGCAATTGTAATATGACAGTTGGCTCAATATGCAAGCCCACAGCAACAATTCGATGTCATAGCCACGCGAAAGGTTTTTGATGTGTAACCCGCAAAACGAGAATATATGTGCAACTCGCTAGCGAAAAAGAATTTATTGTACAACCTCACACGAAGATTCCGTTTGTAGTCCGCACACGAAGGATCAACATGTAAATCGCCCACAACAAAAGAAATCAACTGCAAAGTCCTACACGATAATTCCGATTGTGTAATCCACACAATACTGTTCAAGATGCGAATCCACCGCTCAAGGAATCCCATTGAAGCTGTAGGAGAATTCGACTTGCAATGCACAATGGGAATTCGTATGTAGAACCCCCTCAACTCAACAGGCATCCTATTGTACAGCCCAACCAACGGATTTCAGTTGTATTCCGCATTATGATCATGCAAACGGCCCACCAAAGTAATCCTAGTGTACAGCCCTACGATAAGGTTCCATGTGTAAGCCACACTAAGAATCAATTTGCAACTCGCCCACAACATAATCTAGCTTGTAATCAGGAGTGCGGCTTTACAACAGAGTTTAGGTGGGCAAGTTACACATTGATTCCTATTGTAAGGTATTCGCAAGTCGATTTCAAGTGCGCGGGTATGCGAACTTGTTTGCAGAACAACACGCCACGCAACACACCACCAAATAACAGAGCAAGCCAAGCGAATAAGCATGGGAACGCTCAAACCGAGTCGCCCGAAAACGGCCCCCGGAGGCCAGAAAGGCAGCGAAAGCCCTCCTGAACCAAGAACCTCGAACCTCGCCCGCCCTTCCTGCTGGCCTGAACCACAGTGCTGGGCCACCTCAGACCCCCAGACGGCTCTCAGACGGGCCGCATCGGCACGGAGTCGGAATCGAACCGGCTCGGCTGCACCAGGACGCGCAACAGCACCACGTGGGCACGTAGGCATCGGGCCGCCTCGGATCTCGGGGAAATCGGCCCCGACTCGGATCGAATTGGCCGCACCGACTTGGTATCGGATCGGATCGACCGGATCGAGCTGGGCGGGGGGAGGGCCGTGGGAGAGCGAGGGCGGCGGCGAGGCAGCCTGCAGCGCGAACGCGCCGTCACCGTGTACCTCTCCTCGGCCAGGGGGCCGCCGGGGCCCCCGCGGCGCCGCTTCTCGACGCGGCAGGCGGCCACCTCGAGGGGGAGCGAGAGGACAGAGCGAGAGTGGCGCTCGGCGGCGGGCCTGCGGGGGAAGCGCGAAGGAGACGGGGTTCTCAGCAGGCGGCGGGGCCTCTCAGAAGGCGGCGGGGCCTCTCTCAGAAGGCCTCCGGCCTTCTGAGGAGTCTTCGGCGTCTTCGGGGGAGGCTCAGCAACCTTCTAAGAAGGCGGGGAGACTTCCGAGCCTTCTCGGAAAGCCCGCCCCTTCTCACTTCCCCCCCAGGCGCGCCGCCGAAGGACCAGAGCGATGTCATGATAGGAAATCTGGGAAATCTTGGAGCGTATCATTATCATGACCTCTCGATTCTCTGAGAGGAGGCAGGAACTACCAGCATCGAGTTGGGAAACCGGGTCGGATCCGAACTTGCATCAAATCGGGCCGCATCAGCACTGGAATCCAATCGGATCGGCTGCGCCAGGATGCGCAACAGCGCCACGCAAGCTTCGGGCCGCAGGGGTTCGCCAGAAAATCGGAATCGAATCGAGTCGGGCTGGCCAGAGACGATATCGAATCGGATCGATCGGATCATGGGACCTGGGAGGCAGGGACGAGGCAAAAACGGCGAAACAAATACGGCTGGGCAGTTTTCCTTAGCGTGTCGCCACGGCGGCCCAGGCGACACGCTATGCCACGCTGGGGATGGCGTGTCGCCCCGCTCTGCGGGGCGGGAGGTCGGGAAAGGCTCGGGGCGTTGACGCTTGGGGACCTGGAAAAGGATAGTGCGTCACTCCAAAGCGTGGTGGGCCAGCACCAGCGGAGCGACACGCTAACCCAAAGTTCCCGACTGTAGCAACACAAGCAAGACGTACAAAACAGCACCCAACTCGACGAACTGACAAGCAGGACTGACACGATGAACACAACGAGAAGGACGCGACGAGGCGAACAACAAGCTGTTCCAACTCCGAGCGAAGTAACTTGCAGGTTTAGCAGGGCCATGCAGGGCCCGCACTGAGGGGGCAACGATTGGGGGACCAGTTAAGGGGGGAAAACATAGAGCTGGAGTCGGCGATACATCGCCGTTAGATTGGCGACAGGCCCCCGACAGAGAGTCCGCACCTCCCAGGGCGGGCTATCGGGCCCCCCTTGGCGATGAATGGGCGATTGGGGATCACTGCATCCCCCCCTTGAGCCGCAGCTCCCCCCCCGTCCCCCCCCCTATCGTTGCCCCTGAAGCGCTCCGCTCTGCGGAGCTGGCCAGACGCCATGCTCACCTCCTCGCGCCCGCGCTCGTCCCAATCCGCCCCCGCCCCGTGGCCCAGGTCCTCGAAGTCCCAACCCACAGGGTCGGGGCGCATCGGCGCTTGCCGTGTGCCGCCCGGAGAGCCTCTGGATGCCCCATGACGTGCTCCATAAGGGCCGCCGGGGAGCTCCGCCGGGGGCCCCTCGAGAGAGCTCCGGGGGCTTTCGGATGCCTCTGGACGCGCCCACGCCCGCGCCCGCATCCACGCCCACACCCACACGGACACCCACGCCCGCGCCCACGCCCTCGTCCGCGCCCCCGCCCCCGCAGCCACGCCCGCAGCCACGCCCGCAGCCACGCCCGCAGCCACGCCCGTACTCACGCCCACGCCCACGCCCACGCCCGCGCCTACGCCCACACACCCACGCCCACGCCCACGCCCGCGCCCAAACCCACGCCCACGTCCACACCCTCGCCCGCGCCCCCGTCTCCGCTCCTCCATGGCCCCTCGATGATCAACAACCTCCCCTGTTTCGCTTCCATCCCCCCCGCATCTCGCCTCGGCTCCGCTTCCGCTGCTACACTTCGTCCTGCCAATCCTGCCCGGCTCCTTTCTGTTACCCCTCCCTCATGCCCACCATTCCCCTCCGCACACTCTCCCACCTGTGCTCCTACCACTACTATCGTGCTAATGCCTCGGCTGATTTCCCACCCACCTTTCCTTCCTGGCCCTCCTGCGCCCTCCCTGCGATCCGACGCCCTAAACCAATCACGCCGTCAAAACATGATGGCCCCAACCCCTCGGCCCGATCATCCTGCAGCACTTCTCGAGCCGGAGCGGGCGGCGCGGCCCGAAACGGGGCAGTCATGCTGGTCCGGCTGGGCCCGCGCGGCGGCTCACGGGGCCCTCCTGGGGCTCTCACGGGGCCCATGGGTGCCCTATTGGCCCCCGCGGGCCCCCCCCGGGGCCTCTTGAATCTGGTCGCCGATCTGCTGCCATCTGGGGCCTGGGGCCATTCTGGACCGTGCCTGGCGCATCCCCCAAGGCCTCCCTGCTGGGGACCCCCTTCCTGGGGGCCTCCTTGAGGACATCCCCTGGGGGCATCCTTCCTGGGCGCTCTCCCCGCTGGGCCTCCCCGCGCGCGTGCGGGCCTGGCTGCCGACCCTCCGCTGCAGCTCGAAGCGGCCCGCTGCCAGCTGCACGAGCACGAACTCGGCGGTGTAGCAGCGCCACGAGACCTGGGGGAAGAGCGGGGGGAGGAGGAGGGAGGAGGAGGAGGAGGAGGAGGAGGAGGAGGAGGAGGAGGAAGAGGAGGAGGAGGACGAGGAGGAGGAGGAGGAGGAGGAGGAGGGGAGGAGGAGGATGAGGAGGAGGAGGTGGAGGAGGAGGAGGAGGAGGAGGAGGTGGAGGAGGAGGAGGAGCAGAGGAGGAGGCTGCCAGCGAAGCAGGAGGACGAGGAGGCGGAGGAGGCGGAGGAAAACGAGGAGGCTCAAGAGCAGAGGAGGCGGCGAAGGCGCCGAGGTGCCCAGAGCCCAGCTTCAGGTGGGCGGAGGTGGCGGCCAGAAGGAGGACGACGGCGGAGGACGAGGAGCGAAGCGCCGGAGGCCAGCTTGAAGAGCGAGGCCTCTTGAGCAGAAGGCGCTGGGGCGCCCAGAGACAGGAGGAGGATGAGGCCAGCTTGAGGAGACGGCGGAGGCGGAGGAGGACGAGAGGAGGAGAGGAGGCTGAGGGCACGGAGAACCAGGTCGAGGCTGAGGAGGAGGAGGAGGAGGAAGAGGAGGAGGAGGAAGGAGGAGGAGGAGGAGGAGGAGGAGGAGGAGGAGGAGGAGGAGGAGGTGGAGGAAACGGCGGCCACGCAAGCGCCACGACGACACGACGACCGCCCACCCGTCCCCCAGCCATCCCTGTCCCCTCCGCCGCCCGCCTGGGCCGCCCGCGCTGTTGCGCTGCTTTAGTTTTTGTTCACCCTTCCTCCTGGCCTGGGTCAGGGGCCGTTGCCCGCAGGCCGTGGGGGTGTACAGCACTGTCCTGAGAGGAATGCGCCCTTACACGCCTGACCCCGGTGGCCACCCATCCTAAAAAGGGATGGGTGCCGGGGTCGCGGTGGCAGGAAGAGTAGCAGCAGGAGGAGCTGGAGGAGGAGGAGGAGGAGGAGGAGGAAGAGGAGGAGGAGGAGGAGGAGGAGGAGGAGGAGGAAATGGAGGAGGAGGAGGAGGAGGAGGAGGAGAGGGAGAGGAGGAGGAGGAGGAGGATGATGATGATGAGGAGGGAGGAGGAGAGGAGGAGGAGGGAGGAGGAGGAGGAGGAGGAGAAGAGGAAGAGGAGGAGGAGGAGGAGGAGGAGGAGGAGGAGGAGGAGGAGGAGGAGGAGGAGGAGGAGGAGGAGGAAGAGGAGGAGGAGGAGGAGGAGGAGGAGTAGGAAGAGGAGGAGGGGGTCATCAGCCCATTGGCTGCCAGGCAATCCACCGCGCCCTCGAACTGGATCCCACTCCACTTCGCGCCCACGACAGGGCCAGATTGCAAGATGGCAAGCAACGCCAACGCGAGCTCAGCGCCACGGGGCGCACGCAAGAATCCCGCGCGACGGCGAGAGCTGCACGCCAGCTGAAGCCCGCGCGCCTGCATGCCAGCGCGCCATGAGGACGAGAGGAGAGCTGCGCGTCAGCTGATGGCCACTATGGGCCACAAGGGGCACAACGCAGCAAGCTCCCCTGAGCCACCCAGGACCTGGGACCCCAGCGGGCGTGGTCGCAGTGGGCCCGAAGGCAAGTGGCCGCTATGGACCAAGGAAGAGGCCCCATTGGGCGCGAGGTCACGACGGACCGAGGGAGTCCAAAGCGAGGACCTGTCGAGAGGGCCCCATTGGGCAAGTGAACGCAGCAGGCCGCCATGGGCCGCAACGAAGCCACCATATGGGCCGAACGAAGCCCCAGCGGGCGGAGGGCCGAAACCCGACACATGGCACGGTATTTATATCCCGCCCCAGTACCAGGCGGAGGAAGCACGGCACGGCACCGCACCACACGACGCGAGCAGGAGGCGGAAACGGGTCGGCCAGCGCGCGGCCGACCAGCCGAGCGAGGGCGCCCCCGTGGCCAGCCGCGGGGTCGTTACCAGCGCGGGCGGATTTGTGTCAAGCAATAACTCCGGTATTCCGACCCAGCAACTAGGGGATGTTCCCCTGAACTTCCTCATGGCCCTTGCTGATCATGCCAGTGTTGTCAACATCATGAACTCTGCTCTTGCCGTGTTTGCCCACAAAGTGCCCGCGTCCTCCTCAGTCCCGCGCTCTTTTGCACGCAACGCAACTTAGGTCATCCTGCCTCTGATCCCTTTCAGACTGGTTTCCCTACCTCGACTCCTGCTCCTTTGACGACTGGCAGTTATTGACCTCACCGAAGTACTCCTGGCAATTATCCCAGAACGCTTAGACCTCAAAGCGGAAGCCTATATCCGCTCTGGCCTCCGCCTCGATTTCAAGATCCACAACAGCAGCATATTTCAATTTCGAAGGTAAGCTCAATCAATTTGAGAATCTGGCTTGAGACCACCCAGAACCGATACACTCTCTGTTGCTCCCATGCTGCCTCCCCCTTGGTCTGCTCTTCGCACGTAATGATATGCCTCAACTTGAGAACTACCGCAGACGGAACTGTCCTGGCTGGAACTGTCTTGTCGCCGTTATGAAGGTGCGGCTGTTTGGCGCAATCGACCCTATAGATTGATGTGCCACTCGGCTTCCTGATATGTGCGAGTCCGCATTCATCTTCTACAGACGCACACATCTTACCATCACAGCAGTTTAACGCCAGTGTTCGGCCACAGCTCATACTCTGGCGCAGCTTACCACCCTTCGAGGCGACTTCTTGCGCATGCGCAAGGTTCCCAAAGCCGTCCGCAGCGACAACGCAAGCGAAAACCGACCGAACCGACAGCGACACCGAAACCGACCAATATCGACAAGGCCGCAAGCAGCCCAAAAGGGCGCTGCAACGCTGCAGCGGCGCAACAGCCGCCTGAACCCACCGAGCGCAACCAAGTGCGCCGCAGCCGAACCGACCGAAACGCGGGCACCCCTTGGCCCCCTCTTGGGCGCGAACTAATGGGGGGCAACAAATGAGGGGGGGGAGGGGGGGGAAGAGGGGTGCCCTGTTCGGGCCCAAAAAGATCCCTGTAGGAGCCCTGAAGGGCCCCTCCTCGGCGACCCTCGCTGCTCCCCCGTTCATCGCCCTCCCATTGGCAGGACACCTCCTGCCTTGGGCGCACTTATCCCCCCCCCTCTGATCGCCTGCACCTCCGATCGCGCGCCCTTCACCGGGGCGGCAGAGTACCCCACGAGGTTGGAAGCGGACCACGAGCCGTGCTTCGAGGGGTCCTGCGCGCGGAAGGAAGAGGAGGGGGAGGAAACACTGCCACCTGGAGGCCGCGGGAAGCCGCCTGTCCCTCTCGGAGCAGCGCGGCCTGAAACACTTGGATGCCACAATTGGTCCCCAGACCCCTCCCGGGGTCCAAGCGCACCAGTTTTCCGTGCCGCGTCCAGCCGTGGCGGCGAGACGGCCCCCCGAAGGCCAACCACCAGTGTCTCCAACGGCCGTCGGCTGATCCTCTGGCGAGCTGTTGCGATCACAATCGCACCGCAGGAACTGAAGCCGCTGCCCTGGGCACGGGTGCAGCACGGCGTGCCCCGCGAGGCCACACCCTGCGGACTCGAGCATGCCAACGACGAGCGGAGGGGGGAAGAGCGGAGGAGGGACACTGGCAGGAGGGGGTGGGGGGCACGCGGACGAGGAACACCGGGGGGGCCCAAGGTGACCCGCGGATCCTCCGCGGGAAGAGGCGGAGGACCGAGGATCGAATGACTGGAACGTTCCAGATCCTTTCGGGGACTCCGGGGACCCCACGGACACGGGCACACCTCCCGAGACCTCCTCTCCCCACTTGGCAGCCATTGAGAAAGGGAATTCGATGACGGAGAAAGGAAGGCGGGGGGTTGAGCACCCATCGCCATGGCCGCGCAGCCGCACCCTACCAACCCCCGGACGCCCCCAACGAGGCCCTTGCAGGGAGAGCTCGCGACGCGCCCCCCGTGCGAAAACATTGGTTCTGAGCTATGGCTGGGCGGCTGCAAATGCCAGGCCTGGGCGTGCAGCAGGCGGCCACGTAACGCCTTGGCGGGAAACAGGCTACCCGAAAAGATCCAGAGGACCTTTTCTGTGAGGGGCGAAGAAGAGAAGGAGATGTATCAGGATGCCCTCTGAGGGGAGCACATCACAAATACAAGACTGATGCAGCCTCACGGGCCGCAGTTCTCTGCCTGAGGGCTTCGAACCCTGGGAGGAAGTCACTGCCTGGGGCTCCTTGCCCAGAGGAAAACCGTTCGCTGGGCAGGTTGCTGAATCTGCAGCAGACAGTCACGCTCCGCCTCCCTTGAGATGTGGGGCACATCCCCGGGGTTGGGACGATTCGACTGAAGGTGAAGGCCTCAGAGCATACGACCACGGCGATACCCAAAGGCTGAGGATGCAACATGGCATCGGCACGTCCTCTTCACCTGCTGGCAGGGGCGGCCCATACTATAAGCACCGCGTCGCCGACAACAAGCAAGACTGGGGCCTCTGTTGATGCCACCATATGGCCATGCAGCTGAGGAGCCGACAGAAAGGCGAAATCAGGCCGCGTCCCTAGGCACCCCCACATACCAAGTTTAACATCACCCATGCCAAAAGCTCTGGCGTGGCGAGCGAAAGTCCTGGGGGGCCCAAGAACAAGCGTCCACGCATGCCACCTTTCAACGCCAACATTAAGCGGGCGCCCAACCCTGAATGTTTCGGGTAAGTGGGGAAACGGGAAAAAACGGGAGCACAGCACCCACCACGCGGGCCACCACATGGGCCATACTGGTCAGGGTCTTCCAAGCCTCCTAAGCCTCCCGAGCTCCAAGGTCCTCCTGAGCGTCCATCTGCAAAGCTTCTGTGGCAAGACAATATGCTGAAGCATGGGCTCGACCTATTCTCCGATCCGCATGAAGAAGCAAATCGATCACGTCCTTACTTCGGTGCGCAGGCGCGTGAGCAGCAGGGCCAACAAACTTCACAGCTTCGAGCTGCCAGCAACGCCGACGGAGACCCGCGTACGGGTTCCGCAAACGCACATGCTGGGAAGACGGCTGGTTGTGCAATCGAAAACGGCTCAGACAGTCAGAGAAGACTTTCACCTTCTGCCGTGTCATGAAGCTTGTGTTTACGATGGCCGAAATGCTCGGCAACCTGAAAAATCGGCTGAAGCTCGGCCAACCTGTTCCACGAAAACGTGCTACTACCTCGTTAACACCTCCTGCTAAAAGGACTCCCGCGCAGGCCACCCTCGCATGCTCGAGAAGCGGAGGTCTCGCGCAAGACGCGTCGAAGATATCGCAAGCTCGATCGAGGATAGCGAAATCGTCGAGGACTTGGCCTTGGGGGTCCAAGACGCGAGAATACAAAAGGCCAGTCGGCGGCTGGAACGTCGACGCAGGGCGAGGGAGGATGAGGCGAGTCCAGTGGGTGTTCCGAGCATGCCTGCACTGCCTCCTGGATCAGATTATCGTCTGCAACTTCATCCCTGGTAGCTTGAACGTCAGGGTGTGTGTGTGTGTGCATACATACAGTATGTGCTGAGGGCTGTCTCTGGCACCGCACACCGGGCACAAACCATCTGAAGCGTACCCTGCGCCCGAGAGCATAGCACTTGTGAAAACAGCCTTGCAAAAAAAACAACTCGCTACTGCGTACTTATGCCTATGTCGGAGGAAGAGGGGGGAGGAGAATGAGGAAGAGGAGGAGGCGGATTGTTATGTAACGCTGGTGCTATTGAGTAGGCATGACCCTGTGGAGATCGGGTGGGACACTTCCGCTCCCCCATCCTTGTAAACCGGTGCCAGTGAAGGTTGTGAAGCCGCAGCTTCCGCTGACGATGGTACACGTACCGCAAGACGCACCTGACATTGGTGGGTGGTCTGCCCACTCCGTATGCCTTCTGGCAACCACCTCTGCCAGCTCGGAGTTGGCCTGGCCTGGTGGAAATTCAGCAGCAGCGGCAGGGCGGGTCGGCGGCGGTGGGGGATAGACAGGGAGGGGGGCGTCGAGGGGGAATGACGGGGGCGGCTGGAAGCGGTCGTAGCAGCGGTCGTCGTGGTGGTGGGCGTCGGGGAAGTCGTCGTGGTGGGGTCGTGGTGGCGGTCGTGACAATGGTCCCGTCCTCCCGCTCCCGCTGCTGCCCGCTCCTGATCCCGCTGCCGCTCCTCCTACCGCTCCTTTCTTCATCCTTCCTTGATGCTTCCTCGTTCATCCTCGCTCCTCGCCCTGCTCCCTCAAGAGCTTCCCCAGCGCAGGTGGCTCGACGATGCAGGCAGGGCTCGCGCCGGGGTCGCCGACAGAGCTGCGGATGGGCGTGGGCTCCCCGAGCATTATGGTGTGCACGTCGATTGATGGCTCCAGGGTGCGGTTGAACGTATTTACGGACAGCACGGTGGGCATCCTAGCTGCGTTCCGCGAGCTCGACCTCGTCGTCCTGGGGCTGCCTGGGGCCCGCCTGGCTGAGGGAATCGTCATCCCGGGGCGCGCGAACATCGGCATCGAGGCGAGAGGAGGTCCCTCGTACGCCAGCGTCGCGGTGATTTGGGACAGAATTCGACTCCCGTCAGCGAGCAAGATTGTAAAGGTGGGTTCCTGTCGCCGTCTCTGGCTGCGAGCCGAGGATGCGCAGGGCCAGGAGTGGTTCATATGTACGGTTTACCACTCCCCCCAGTCCCCGAGGCAGGGCCAAACAAGGAGTGGTTCCTCGAGATGGACGGGCTACACGCGGACGTGGAGAAGCTTCAAGGCCCAGCCCCGCTGGGAGTCGGCGCCCGCCTGATCGTCACGGGGGACATCAACATGCAGCCAGACGAGTTGCTCTGAGCGCGAGAGCCATCGCGTGCTCGATCCCGCCGCCGGTCACGTCTGGTCTCCACGTGGGGGCCGTCCCACCTCAATCCCTCGTCGGGACAAGGCCCTGCGGCCTGTGTGGGTCTCCCCCTTCGGGGCCGCAGCCTCGCACTCCGCCCGGGCGACACCCATCACGGAGGGGGTGGTGCACGCTGCGTTGACGTCGTCATCGCCTCCCGTGCGGCACGTGCGGCACACGGCGTCGCGCGAATCCACAGTGGGCTATCCTGCCGGGGCGAGGGCGGCTGCAGCTGGGACTACTGCGTCGAGTACACGTACGGGGACCATTTCTTGATCGACTTCACCGTCCCCATTCGGCTCCCTCCTGCCTCCCTCGGGCAAGGAGCCATCCGAATGCCGCGCTGGTGGAACAAGGCGGACTCCTGGGCCGACGGAGGCCCGCCCAACTCTGCAAGCGTACGCGGACATCCTGCGGCATTACTGCGGCGACGGTGAGGCAACCGCAAGCTCGTGTACGTTTGGGCGCGCGCGCGGCGCAGTGGTTAGGAGATGCTGCTGCCATGGCTGCTGCAACTCGTTCTTGGTCTGGCGCTTGCGGGTTGGGTGGTCCCGAAGGGTTCCCCTCGCCCCCCAGGGCGCGCAGGGGCTCCAGCACTGCGAGGAGGGTAAGGTCGGCCATAGACGGGCCACAAACAGCACAGGAGCGAGCAGCAAAGTGCATGCGGCTTCTTCGCCCGCGAGAGCCCCGGCCAACGGCCCTCCTGAGGGGGAACCGTGGCGAGATCTTGACAATCGAAGCCTCGCGAGAGGCGTGGTGCCAGCAGTTGGTGGAACAGTCGCGCTGGCCTGGCCCCTGGGATCCAGCCTTCCACGCCCACGTCTCGGGGGCGCTGCCGGCGATGCTGGGGCGGGCGCGGGCCAACCGTGGCAGCGGGCCCCACGACGCACCCGTTGAGCAGGTCGAGATCGAGGCGGCCTTGGCCTCGATGGGCCGCACGGGGGCCACTACGCCAGACCTGGTGCCGCGCAGGGCCCTGCAGTTGGGTTGCAGGCATCTCCTGACCGCCGTCTGGCTGGCCCTGCGCCTGACGGGCCCGGGGTGCCTCGCTGTGCGGCCAGATGCCTGGCCTGGCAGCTGCGCAGTCCCTCTGCACAAGGAAGGGCCGCTGGATGTCGGGGGGTCCTTCCGGCTACTCATGGTAAAATCGCAAATGGCTTTGTTGCAAGAAGTGATCGTCCACGGAAGGCTGGTCGCACAGCTGCGCGCGTCCATCTTTCCAGGACAGAGCGGGTACTGCCGCGATGTCGGAGACGCACACCTCTTTCTACACGAGCTTGCAGCAGAGGCGGCGCACTCCGAGCGGCCATTGTGGGCAGTTCTCGGAAACCTTCAGAAGGCTTTCCCGCGCACCTAGCGGGAGGCGCTCCTTCTGCGGCTGCACGAGACGGC